GTGCAAAATAATTGAACGTAACAAAAAAAAAATTACATTAATCTAAACATATCATACATTTCAACGTTTAATTGGTCATCCACAGTGATTATAAAAATAAAACAAAATACAGAATTATCACTTACTTATCACTTATTGTTGAATATCCGAGATAGCTTTCTTAACTGCTCTCCAATTCTCTTTATAATATTATAACAATAGGTATAATGAATAGATCTTAGATTAATTATAAAAATATCAAGCGGAATTAGCAGACATGCGGATTATATGGATCTAAAATCATATACAATATGACAGCATTTGAAATTCATGTATTCAAATGTATTGCATTCCCAAATCTGCCAAATTTACGCACTCATTTCATTTCATCAACCAACTGCCTCAACAATTCGATTTCAAATTTTGATTTTTTATCTTATACAACCTTACTCCGCAAGATACAATATAATAATGATTTTTAAAGATGAGAAAACATTATTAACACTAATTATATAAGAGGAAAAACAAGAAAGCACATAAAAAATTTAAAAAATTTTTATGGAAACATTTTTACGATAATAAAACAGAATTCGGAAAAGAAATTGTCATATTTCATTGATTTTACATCTTGAATATCGTTTTAGCAATTTCCTATTTATTTCGATAAATCCATTCAAATCAATCAAAGAATATTATATGAAAAGGATGGTCAAAAGAATTGTACTTTTAAAAAAAGTACAATTGACGGCTATTGGCTCTGCTTTGAATACGTTCCATCTTACGCTGCACTGCATTCGCTTTTAGTAGTTGTATGCGTGTACAATCCGCCTGCATTTGATCACGAATTAAAGGGAAATCGAGATCGCTGATCTCGTACGTCCCACTCGGATTATATAGTAGATATAGTACAAAGAGGCGCATTCCCAGAGCGCTTTTAAGTTGACCTGAGCAGAAAATGGTGGATCTTCGTGACAGCGACGAAAGGTCAAAGCCACTGAAAGCTCGCTTACGTTACTTACCGACAAATTGTGCTTGAAGATGTTTTATGTACCTTCTAGCTCTCCGTCGTAAGCTTGCACTCTCCCTTTTTCTCTTGTCGGATATTCCTGTAGGATGCAAAGGAAACAAGCAAAAAGTTCGGAGAGGACTACACGAGAGAGATGCCCCATCTCATTCCTTTCGCTATTCGTACACGCTGATTTCTAAGCTGGCGCAACATTGTGAGCGCCGTCCTTTCTTGCTTCGTAATTTCTCTTGCCTGCGGTAGGAAGAGCGAGGTTCTTGCGCTTGGAAATTGTGGGACGAATTTGGTTATCTCGCTGCAGATTGCGTCGATTGTTCTTAGTGACGTGTTGTGTGAAAATTTTAGTCTAATTTTAGGTAGTTTGACTTCGACGATAAGATGATTAAAAGCTATGTACTTGCAGAAGGGTCTATCTTCAACTTTCAAAAAAATGCATACGACGCTTAATTGTAAAATAGTATACAATGTAAACTTGAATATAAAATCCTTACAAATTAATTTAAATTAAATTTATTAAACGTATATGTTAACTAATTATATTATCATTAATTATTTATTTTTTTTTATTAAAACAAACACTGTAAGAATTATCGTTTTACATAATAAAGTATAAACTTTTATTGTCGATAAAATACTTTTTTCTTTTATATCTTTTTAATAATTACAAAAACCTACTAAGAGAAGAAAACTACGACACTATCTACCGTTATAATTTAATCGTGCATTCTTATATGTACATGCTGTAATCAGTTATTATACTATATTATTGCTATTAGAATAACTTAATTTAATTAATTTAATTAAGCATCATTAGCACACACAATTATAGTAAGTAATTTAATGCTGAATGTAACTCATTTATTATACTATCACTGCAATAAAGTGATATGATAACACATCGAGCACATAATATTCCTACTCTCATAATCTCGGTTGCAAATCAAGAGTTCGGAACTATAAAATTTTCGTGGCTAAGTTACGAAGGATTCTGATCCCTAGGGGCCAAACGTATAAGAGCAGGATATTTAATTTTACCTGACAGAGATACACTAGATATAAAAGGAAAAGACGAAACAACGGAGGAGAAAAGATATATATATATATATATATATATA